CAAAATTCTGGGCACAAACATGTGTAACTTTGTTTTAATTATACAGTATGCTTATCTCATAGAAAAACAAACAAAAAATATTGAGAAGACTGCTTCTGCATACAATAGTACCAAATAATACCAAATCTTAAATTAAAAAAAGGAGAATGCCCTATAAAAGGAAGTATTTCAATGTTTCAAAGTATTAATGAATCTTTGGTGTCAACTCTTATTAAATATATATTTTGCAGTTAAATATATTAACATAATACTTTTTGCACTTTTTCAGAATTTCTTTTGTACAAGCCTGCAAGATCTAAAATAGGGTATATTGGTTTGTGCTTCCATACAGACACTGCCACAGTCCATCATGCTAGTTTCTTCATTTGGCTTTCCTTTCAGGGGAACAGTGCAGAGAACACTTGGAACAAATATCAAGAGCTAGCTTTATGCAAGGAACCCACAATTAAAATATCCCAAAATTGCAGACAATGGTGAATGATACCAACAGCATTTGAGACAGGACACTAGGTGATTAAGAATGCAAAAATAAATGTATTCAACATGACAGAAAGCAGCTAATGACAGAGGGAGATTAACAGCATCAGTCCAAATTCTTTATTTGAACCATTATCTATCTATCTATCTATCTATCTATCTATCTATCTATCTATCTATCTATCTTTCTATCAGTAGATTTTAAATATGAAGCTTGGGATATATTATAGTCTACTAATATGGTTGGTAGAAGATAGCTCAATAGTTGTGGGTATGAGTGCCTTTATTCCCCAGTGCATGGGTCTTCACCCATCCTTGAGCATTTTCAAGAAGCTAAAGCCATCTTAAAACAATTCCTTGAGAATAGCCAGAAGGCATTTGCAGAATGAGATAGGCCATAGGTGCCCACAGATGGGCAAGTGATGAATATCTGTCATAATGTCACTATACAGTCCTATGACATACAACTTGTGATCAACAAAAATGAAAAGACAAGGTTTGCATTGTGATATCACTATGCACATCATAATATTTTCATCATTGTGGTTAGCTGCAGTTACTACAGGACAGGCTTGGAGTTTGGCTATTATTCCCAACTTTTAGGTAGAAAGAGGAGTCAGGTGGAGTGCCACAGAACTCTGTCCTGTGCTGTTCAATGGTTTTAACAGTGATACAGATAAGGTGTAGATAGGATGCTTATAACATCTGTTAATGAGAAAAGCCATTTTGCATTTAAATACAAAAGGAAATAATATAAAATGAGGACATTGATGTGGAAGCAGTACATGTGAAAAAATCTAGGTTTCAAAAATAATCATAAATTGAATGTGGCACTGCAATGCTCGACAGCTATTTATGCGATCTTGCAATTTCTTAGCACAAGTACTATGTCAGCCATGTCCTGTTTAAGTTACACTTGGAGTACACCATCTAGTTCTACACATGGTTTATCACTGTTAAACTAAAGCACATCTACTGAAGAATAACAAGGACAATGCACAGGTTGATACCAAGTCCTCTGAATAACAATGAAAAAGCTGGACATACTGAATTTGGAAAAATGTAACAGCATTCAAATATCAGGAAGATTGCCTTTAAAACATAGAGTTGTTCTCTGTTGCTCTAGAAGGCAGAGCTAGAATAAATGAATGTGAGATGTAAGGAACAAAAGTTCAGCTAAACAGGAGGGCATGAACAGGGAGAACTGTTTAGCAGTGGAGTAGAAAGCTTAAAGAGATGATGGTCTGTCTTTCATTGGAGGTATGTAAGCAGAGACAGGACACCTGTCTGTCAAGGATGTTGTAAAGAACCTTACATCAAATGGGAATTAGATTAGATTATCCTCAAATACATTATTGCTCTATGATTCTAAGGATAATGGCATCTCATTCTTTGCCTTAGTAGTTCCTCAAATTCATAAAAATCTCACCCAGTTATTGCCTACTTCTCCTTCTTCTAAATTAAAATGCTTTCAATCCAAACACTTTCTTTAACTGAAGAAGAGGGAAATTCTGTGGACTTGAAGATTAGAAGAAACTAGCTGCAACATTTTCTTATATCATGCTTCCTTCATAATAAGTCTATGAGCATGACTGGTCCAGCTATAACAGTAGTCCTTGTCTACCAGTAGATTCGCCTACCACCTGGACAATACCTAGCTTCATCTCAAAATGTTATGTCTTGAAAACATGTCATTTTCATCCATATACTGCAACTGTAGCAATATAATTTCTAATGCATCTTGAACTTCCTAAGAAGCTCTCATTCAAATGAAAATAACAAACTTGTAACCTGAGTCTTCAATGAGAAAATTAGCAAAGGAGTCACTAGGAGAAAAGCAGAATTAAAGAATGCATACTTTTGTGCAATCACTTGACAATAAGTGTCTAGCTAGATGACAGCACCTAGCCAATTTTGGCCTGAAAAGCAGAGCAGAGTCAGACCTGGTTAATACTTGGATGGAAGACAAAGAAATACCAAGATAATTGACTGGGAAATTGAAAAAACATGTCAGAAGAAAGTAATGGAAAACCACTTCCTTATTATTGTCAAGAAAACTTCACAGACATGTTATGTAATTCCCAAAGGCTGAGTTCTCAGAGGCTTTACTTTGAGAATAAGCATCACAATTGTCAGTAAGAGTTACAGTAAGCCCACATAAGTATTCATGGAGTTGCACTACTCATGGAGCATCAAACAGAAAAGGTTTGAGAAATTTTAGAAATTGGGTTTATGTCACAGAAATTCCTAACTGCATTTTTTAAAAAAGATTTCAGTGTTACACCCTCTTTCCTAGAAGCAAGCTTCCATGAAAACAGTGCGGCTTATTCTCAGCAGCATTGCATGTGATTACAACTGAGGTACTAAAAGGGACTGTTGATCCGTTCAATAGAGAGATATCAGCAATGAGGCTTGCACCAGAGCCACCTCCCTTATTTATCCAAAATCCAGATTCAAAACGTTTTTTTCGCTGCTGCTGCTGCTGCTGCTATTCCGTTGCTCTCTTCCTTTCGGGATTCAGCGTATGTCCCCCCAACCCCGCCTAGACCCTCCATCCTCTTCTACCAACCATCTCTCTGTCCTTTGCTAGCAATCACCCAGTTTGAGCCTTTCCTCCACCACCACCCCATCCCACATCCCGCAGCCACGCTAACCTCCATGGCAATCGTCGTCAACCCTGTTATGCAGGCGCTCGCTCAGCTCCATAGCGAAGGGGGGGAATTACAAGCGCGGCTCACCGCTCCCTCCCAAACCAGATCTCAACTTCACGCTCTCGCGCCAAAGCGCCTGAAAGTGGCGCGAGAAAAGAAACCCAAGTGCCCCGGCCGGCCGAACAGCCAATTAGAAACCAGACTGAGATATCCGTCTTTCCTATTCCGCTTCAGGGTGGAAGAGGAAGCGCGAGTGTGGGTGAGCAGGCTGTTTCTGGAGAGGGGAAAGCGGGCGCGGGAGTGTTACGGAAAACTGTCTATCGTTCGTTTCTACATAGTTTTCTACATTCCAGATGTCTTGGGAAGTGACACGGACGGCTGAGGAGAGGGAATAAAGGAATGGAGCTCCTGAGTCGCCATAAACCAATAGAAGAAGAGTTTATTTAGATAGGGGCAGGAGCAAAGAAATTGACAAGTACGAATTGTTTATTGTCAGACATGGGCTCTGAATTTCAATATATTATTCAGAGGCAATACTGCAAATGATAAAACTGTATCCTTGCCACTTTCAGTCTGCCCTTTTAAATTGTCCCCCCTCCCGCTCGCGGGCTAAATTCACGTCTCTTAATGCTAAAAGGAAAGTGCGAGATTTGTAAATACTATATATTGTCGCCTATTATACATCTCTGGCCTTTCACTCTTTTACTGTAATCCTTTTAAATGCGCATTTAAACTTATATTTGCGATTTTTCTCTGTTGTCATTCTGTTTTTACTTGAATCAATTTTACCTTTATATTGGTTTGGATTTGGCTTACAGTGTTTTTAAAATACTGTAAGCTGTTCCAAAGAATTTAGTAAAAATGTATAAAATAAATCACATAGCATTTATTACAACCCCCATCAGTCTTTTTGTTATGTATGGTTACTATATATATTTGCTATTATTAATCATTTCTATTGTGTATTACTGAATTAGCCTCATTTATATAATGAGAAATTAAGGCACAGAGTTGGCATGCACAAGCCATGATCACTAATTTCACAACCTAAACTTACACTCTTATCTATTAAACCATCTTGGCTTTCTAGGCAGAACTTAAACTTAGGAAGAATGTGTGGTTTACCTGATAATGTTGAACTCCAAACTCATGTTGGCATGACATACTTAACAATGGTTTGCTCAACTAGCTTAATTTTCTGAGTTTGCATAATAAATTAAGTCATAAACAATCCATGCTGGTTGGATTAGCACAACATTCTAGACTGAATTGTGGATGGCTGGTTTGTGGTTCAGCATGTAGTAGGAACAGAACCAGCATATTCATTACCAGGAATAAGTTTTACACTCCACTCTGGATGGGCTTGTCCTACTTATGACTTATCAAACTTATTAAAACATCTCACTAAATTCACTGGGTTTCTTACTCCCCAAAAAGTGTGCTTAAGACTTCAACTTCATATGTATGTATGTATGTATGTACTGCTGCATTAGTCTTTACATCCTATTATGATCACATCACTTTTTAATTTTTTTAAATCACTAGGATTGTATAACAAAACTGAATAACAAATACATTTTAACACATCTGCATTGAAATACAATGCTTTATGCTACGCAAACATTTTCTGTTATTGCTTCAGTGGAAATTAAAAGTCTTTTATCTTAGTGTTTGGTCCTAAATATGTGCAAATCTCATTACTTCCTATGCTGAAATTTCAAATAAGCATGTTAGTTTTTCTGATCCACAGCTCCAGTGAAATCTAAATGGATCTTTTTCATATAGGCATATAGACTTGAAAAAAAGAAAACCAATCAGCAGTTTCAGTTATCCTATTTGCAAATAGTCTTATCTCCAGCAAGTTATGCTGACATGATCTTTAAACTTTATTGGGACAGTCATAATGTACAACTTGGCAAAACCTTTGTCCACTTTTATGAAGTAGAAAAAGAAAAGAAGAATTATATTTGTTCAGTTTGTAAATGAAAAGCGTGCATGCAAAGGGACTTAAAGCACATTAGCAGCAATGGTAGGCCGTCAGAAATGCAAGATAGAAGAAGCTGCATCAAATGCCTATCTATGTCACCGAAAGGTGAGTGGTTCTTTCATTTTTATGTAATAAATACTATATCATTACCAAATTATTAAACCAGATAATTATCCTTAAAGCTTATTTATTATATATTTATAAGTTATTATATGACACATACTTGAAGACACTCTAAAATGTCTTACTGTGTGGTGTGTATGTGTGATATATATGGAGATTACCTTAATGCAAGTTTCTACTACACCTCATACAGCAAAGAACCTCTAAAGAATATTTGAAGTCATGGCACCTTGCAAGGGACCAAAATAAGTTGTAAGGCAATACTGCAAATTAAATAAAGATAGTAAACTTCCATCTTTAAAATTATTGATATAATATAGACATAGATATAGATATATATTCTATAGGTTATATACACAAAGTGCAGTGGGTTATGTCTAGATTGTTCTCCGACATCAGTGGCTTGGATTACTACCCGTTCTGGCTTCTTCATGGAGAAAACAGGCTGAAATTGAAGGAAGATGGAGTTGATGTCAGTATTATCACTGGAAAAGCTTGCAGTACCTTTGAAGCAGCAGATTTAGGATTTGGGGATGTTTCTGGACTCATGGCTCCTGCTCAAGCAGCTAGTAGAAGCCATGGTAGAGGGCCCTTTGTCCAACTTCAGCTGGTACTCCAATTGCAACTAAAGCTGATGGTGGGAATATATAACACTAACGTTGCAGGCCCTGCATTGGTTGCTGTTGGTTTATGTTCAATTTAAAATGCTTGTTTTGACCTACAAAGCCCTTTATGACTTGGTACCTGAGTACCTACAAGACTGCCTGTTCCAGCCTGAACTGGTCTGATCTACCAGTTCATCTATGGAGGAGCTTCTTGTAGTTCCACACTTCTGGGAAGTGAAGGGAACCAAAGGCAAGAGGCACCATTTTTCAATGGAAGTGCCAGTGCTCTGGGACGGTCACTCAAGGGAGATCAGACTAGCCCCTCAGTGATAACATTTAGAAAGATGGTAAAAATGGAGCTCTTTCAGAGAGTGCTCCAGTTAAGTTTATGACTTGTGCCATCTTTAATTCTTATTTTTTGCTTTTATTTTTGTGATTATTGTTGAAATGATTTATTGGTTTATGTTTTAATGGTTTAGATTTAATTTCTTATGTTTAATGTTCTGTAGATGTTTTAATTATTTTTTCCTATCTTGGAAACTTCTGAGAGTCCTTGGATTGCAGTGGGATGTAAATGTGACAAATAAATAAGAGTGAAGACAAGAAGTACAGGCGATTAGTTTGTTAAGCATGCCTGCGAAGATTGTTTGGCTGAATTCTGACTGAAAGGGTGCAAGAGGTAACTGAGCAAAATTTTGGGAAGCTGTATGGTTTTATGCTATCTGGGAAGTGTGCAGATTTTTGCTTTTTAGCAAGTCTTTGAAATATATCAAAGTTAAATAGGAAGTTAATTTATGTTTGTTAATGTAGATAAAGAGTATGATAAAGTGAATAAGTTTTATGTAAATATGGAGCCGAAGGTTGTTTGCTGAATATAGTAGGGAATATACTGAATGTGCAGTGTATGGTGGGAGAAGAGCATACATAAGAATAAATGGAATCCTCAGCATATGGTTTAACATTGAGCATGGAGTAAGATAAAGTGTCCAAATCAAATCAAATCAAATCAGTTTATTATAGCCTCAAGGCCAGATACAATAAAATACCTAATAGTAGAACTGTTACATACTTCTATATATGGACATAACTGAAGATACATAGGAGTACTCTTAAAACGTCCAAAAAGGACTGCTGAGGGTAATGCATTCAGCCTGGCTAAAATGAAGGCCTTACAAAATTTCAGAATTGTAATGGATGATAAATAGGAGGTTGGAGCAAACCCTTTTGGAAGAATGTGATGAATATCGGGGTGTGACACCTTGCTAAAATTTGTTTTGAGATCTGTATTCCAAATTCATTGTTTGAGAGCCAGTTTGGTGTAGTGGTTAAGACATCAGGCTAGAAACTGGGAGACTGTGAGTTCTAGTCCCACCTAGGCACACAGCCAGCTAGGTGACCTTGGGCTAATTACTTTCTCTCAGCCTAAGGAAGGAAGCAATGGCAAATCACTTTTGAAAAACCTCGGCAAGAAAACTGCAGGGACTTGTCCAGGCAGTCTCCGAGAATCGGACATGATTAAATGGATTTTTTTTTAAAAAATCCCGAATTTGTTGTTTGAAGGCAGTTCTAGCATTATCAAAATCTAATGAACACAAACTTTCCATAGAGAAGCCCAGTAAATAATAATGAAATGTTCTAAAATGATTTAAAACAATCTCTAAGTACTAATGGAGCCAAACATATTGGAAGAGGAATTAATTTTAGTCAAAAGGTAATAAGAAGAAACCATGCTGTAGCATCCAACGAGACTATACCTGTCTGTACACATAAGATGCCATTTTTGATACTTTTTGGAACCATCAGTATGGCTGTAATAAACTTACTTTGAATAGTTTCAAGAATGTTAAACTTTGCAAAAGAGCAAACTTGGGAGCCATAAAGAAGCTGAGAGACTACCTTAGCTTGAAAAACCTTGCAAGCTGCAGGGATATAATGGGCTCCTTTTGAGTGGTAAAATCTTAAAATAGCTGTAGAGGTACATTGTGCAACACTTGCCCTGTTAAAAAAAAAAAAGCATTCCAGGATAGAGAAGCGTGGAACTGCACTGCAAGATATTTATAGGTGTGCATCTGCCCAATTTGAGTCTCATTTATTTGCCATTTGTGAATTTTATGATAAAGTCGGGCAAACACTAAAACTTTGCTTCTCTGAAAGTTTATTGATAGCTTTTGTTCTGTACAGAATAAAGCCAGCGCCCTAATTGCTTTTCTCATTCCCACCTGTGTAGTAGACATAATAACTACATATTCGGCATACGGTAATGCTGGAATTGCACAATCAGCTAAAATAGGTGGGTGATGGGCTGGAACAGCAAGTGCTTGGATTACTGGATTTAAAAATAGATTAAAAAGTAAAGTGTGCAAATGCTGGTAGAAAGGTAGGGGTAGTATGAATGTTTGTTGAAAAAAGCAAATGTGTATAAGAGCATGCTTTTGCCCAGTTTGTTTTATAGAAGTAAGAGCTGGGTATATTGGGAGAAACATAAAAGCAATGTGAATGCAGTGGAAGTGTGTTACTTAAAAAGTATGTGGTAAAATAAGACAAGGTATCATCAACAATGAATGGGAGCTGCAAAAATTATGTTGAGGTGATTTGGTCATATACTTGCTTCCTGTATCAGTTTCTGTAGTAGCATCTTCATTCTTTAATCTCATAAATCTTCATCTGCTTTATCAGGTGAAGAGTGGCCACTTGCTTCTACAGTCCTCTGATGCTTTTAGAAGGAGTATTCTAAGTTTACTCTTCCTGTGAGAATATGGTGGATTGTTCTGCATCAACAAACTTCTGTCTGTACTTCTTTACTCATAAAATTAGGTACTCAAATAGGAATGTGGGGTTCAAATTTATTTTCAGAGAAGATAGTTATGCCTCCTGCTTTCTTGTCAGGCAAGATCTTACATTTGTTTTTCCTCCTGTTTTAATTTCATAGTTTTTAATAGAGTGTGGAGATAAATGAAAACCAACCACATCAAGAAGGCCATTGTTTTGCCCACCCAAACAATATGATTTATCTCTGATGTCATAAGTCTGTCCTGTAATATTATCTGATGACTGAACAGACCTTATTAATGAACCTGTAATTGAATTATAAAGGTGCTGGCCAGTTACTTCAGATAAAGCATTTTATAAAAAGGAATATGTGGGAGAGGCATTTTAGGAAACACAAAGTGAAATCTGATCTGTTCATGTATCCCAGTATGAGGCCAAATGCCAACTGTTCTGTTTGGAATAACTATAGAGTCACTTCAAACTCTAAATGTCTGCCACAGTTTATAACTAACTCAAGTGGGAAACCATGAATAGAAGCAAGAGAGGGAAGCTAAAGAGATGCAGTTTGTGTCTATCTGACACAAAACCCCCTGAACTCTTACCAAAGTGTCCAACATTTTTTTACTTGGCCATACTTTATTTTATTACCTCTGAAAATGTAACTTCCTTGGAGCCTGAGTGACAAATACAAAACATCTATGGCCCCAGTCATGTAACCATGTATGGTTCCTCAAGACTTCTTGGGTAGGACTCAGGCAGTTGCCTGTACAGTCCACAGGGCATTACTACTGGATGATCATTGCCTAAATATAATCATGGATGTTTCAAGACATGTGAAGTTCTATCTGAGCATATAAAGTAATGAGATGCAGAAAGAAAAGCTCTGGGTCTAGAAATAGGAGTTCACCTCCAGAGGAAGTATTTCATAAGGACTGGGCATTTTCCTAGGAAACCCCCTGAAAAAGCCATGTACACAACAGAGAGTTTGTGCGTGCTTTATCTTGCAGTAAAAATGTGAAGAGGGATTGAATTCTAAGATAGACAGACAGACAGACAGATAGAATCAATAGCTTTGCTCTGAGCAATGAATAGAAGTTTTGGATTTCCAATTGAATTTGGATATTCTAATTAATAATTACTGGAAGAGAGCATTTGGCCTCTCTTCTTTGTGGAATCTACCTCCATTGTATAAAGTGAAGCATATTAGAGCATTCTTAACAATAAAAATCTTATTTTCATGTATAAACTGATAGCGTGACTGTCCGGAAAAGGGATCCTGTGGCTTTGGGGTATAGCTCATTTAAAATATCAGCTCATTGTGAAAATGGTAGAAAATGGTAGAAAATTCTGCATCAGCCATCATTCAGAAAAGAACTGAAATTAAAATTGACAGAATTGTAATGGTTTTACTTTACAACTTTATGATGTAACCAAACCTGGAATGCTGTCTATAGTTCTGATCACTGTGTTTCAAAAATGATCTTGTTACTCTTGAAGAAGGGACCAATTGGCCAACCAAACTAAACATGAGGCCCAGCCATTTCCGTATGAGCAAAAGTTTTCCTGTTTGGGGCTTTATAACTTAGAGATAAAAGGTGAATGAGGCAA